TTTGCTATTAACAATTTATTTATTATACACTACTTTACCTATTATAAATATATTACATATATATTTATTGTCTTTTCTGTTACCATGTTATTATACAGGGTGTCCCGAAATTAAATTTGACAATTTCGGGAGGGTGTACGATAACGATAAACAAAGAAAAAAGTCGTTTAGATATTTGCTCATTGTACCTTCACATTACAAAAATCGCAAAAAAATGGTTTTTTTATAAAACATTAAATAACATACAATTATGACATTTATTGAAACATATAAAAAAAAATTGCTACGCATGAAATTCAGAGAACAAAGTAATTGAAATCCTTCTGAAGTTGAATTAAAGGTAAATAGATACGCGACAACGCGGGATTATTGAAACCTATTTATTTACTTTGTTTACATTTTTGTCTTTCTCACACGAATTCGCTACTTCATCTAATCGGCACGCATATTTTCGTATTGCTTCGAAAACATTACTGTTGCACAAACTGTATATGTAAACCATGTCGGCATATTCAACGTTACAATATGTACGCGGCATATTATGACAATGTTCCTTAACGCTTCTGATAAGTAACTGACTAATTCGTAACAGACAGATATGTAAAACTGAATATATAGGTTTCAATAATTCCACGTTATCGTACATCTATTTGTCTTTATTTCTACTTCAGAAAGATTTAAATTCACTTTCTTCTTTTTATTTCATGCTTTGCAACTTTTATTTAATGATATGTTATAATAAATGTAATAATTGTAATGTTATTTTACGTTTTATGATAAAAAGATTATTTTTCCGTTATTACTAAAGCGAAGGTAAAACGAGCTAATCTGTAAACAACTTTTTTCTTACTTTATCGGTCCCGTACACGCTCCCGAAGTTTTGACATTTAATTTCGGGAGACCCTGTACAATAACATTGCTAGAGAAAAAAAGATAATAAATATATATAATATATTTCACACACACACAATAGGTAAACTACTGTATAATACATTAATTTTAGCGCAAAGAGCTGTACGAGATTCAATACCTGTATAAATAGCATATATCGCGCAAGACGACGAAGTAAGAGGCAAACGAGTCGCCACAGGCAAAGTCTTGTGGTCCCATTGTCTGCGGTACTTCGGGCCGTACGGGAAACTTTCGAAATCATTTTTTTCTTTGATTTATTAAACTGGATATTTTGATCAGAATTAAGGAATATGTACATTGAAATACATTTCATTCTCTTCATATTAAGATTCGGATTATCCGGATATCAGGATAGTTCGATTATTTACGTTATTCCATTATTCGAATTATCCGGATTGTCCGGATAATTCAAATATCCGGATTTCAGTTGTCGGATAATAATTATATCGGATAATCCGGATAATAAATTTTCGTATTCGGCTCTAGTATTAACGCTTGACATGAACATCACCTACGTGCGCAATCGTAGTTGCCAGGAGATGCACAATGACACCCATTTTTCTTGACAGATCTTCTTATTTTATACACTTTTTATATGTACGGTACTTTCTATTTACTTAACATTCTTTATATTTATGACATTGTATAATTCTTTCATTTTATATTTTATATTCATTATATTCATTTTACTTCCCGTTGTTTAAATACACTTTGGTAAAATACACGTTGCTTTGTACCACTCAATATGAGCGATCTTTTCTTTGTTGCATTAACAATGATACTGGATTTGGTTTTTCTAAACGTGAGACGGAAAGTTGGGAGGCTACAGAGGAATGAGAGAGAGAGAGAGAGAGAGAGAG